AATGTGCCACAGTCACAAGGCTGAAGCTCCTCCTAATTTGGTGAGTGAAGGGGCCTCCATTAGTTCAGATAAGGATCCTGCTTTTGAAGCACATGTGATCAACCTTACTTTTGCTATGGTTTAGACCACACTGAGAATTTGTCTCAGAGTGTATTCCTGGGCCAGTCTAAAATCAGTTTCAAATCAAAGAAACACCCACCAGGGTTCATCTGGTGTCGATACCCCAGGTTTTAGCACGAGCTGTTTTTTTTTCAAGAGATTTGTTACAATTTCATTGTAATGCTTGTTAGCATGGACATAGCTGTACAGCACCCAGAAAATTAAGTAACAATACAAGTTTTACATAATTACATAATTTATAGCCCTTAAACATTATTGCACGTCATTATCAGTATTCCCATTTCCATGCTCCCATATACATTTCTGTTTTTTAAAGCCTCAGAGGCATTCCCCTAGATTTTACATTTGTTAATGTGGGTAAAATTTGACCTGGTGTATTTTCAAGGAAGTCTATAAAAGCTTCTGTAGCTAAACCCTTGGTCTATGTGTAATGGCCAAAAAACCTTAACAGTTTTACCAGGTACTGAGATAGAGGGGGCATTTCAAATATGGGATCCGCGGAGAGTTCTGCTGATGCAGAATTACTGCAAACACTTTCCCTCCAGCACTGCTCCTGGTGACAAGGTTCTTAATGTGCCTTACAGCAGAAGCAGGGACATGCTGAACGATTCTTACTCTTTATCACTGTCTTTTGGCAGTAGTCTTCCATGGGAATCAGCTGGGTAGATGCTGTCCCAGAGGAGCACTTGCTGGCAGGGTAGGAGTGGAGCACTAAATCCCACAGGACTCCTGCAGAATAAGTGCGTTTTCCACTTCACTACAGAGGCACAGGGATCAGCCTGTTTTCTTAATTTCCAAAGAGTCAGGTGGATTAGTGGATGACAGGTTAGGGAAAACTGCTGGGTTGCCACTGAGGATGGAGATTAGCAGCTATTCTCTTTAATGAGAGTAAAACTGTTAACTGCATGTGAAGAAAAAGCTACAAATCTGTTGGAATCTGCCTGTATCTCCTGCAATAAGCAGTTTAGATGCCAGCCATCTAGATTGCAGTTTCAATTGCCCTGATTTTACCAGAATAAATAACTGTTGGAAAAACCACAAAGCTTTCCAAGTGATTTCCTTGTTCCATACTGATTTTAGACCTTTTAAACTGAGATTATGTTTGTCAGTAGGGAAAATGGAAATGTTGGTCTCTGTGGAAGATAAATAGTTTTAATCTGATGGCAAATGTGTTTGGTACATTTGTTTGCTGAAGGTTGTAGAAACAATTTTGTGCTAGAAAAATATGTGCTGGGTAATTAAAATAATGACATATAAACAAAAAAATTAAGCATAAGATGACAGCACTGTCAATGTATTATTTCATAAGGATTCACAGTGAGTTTTATTGAAAGAAATATAGATATTCTGTGATCTCAGTGTGTAGGGATATGTTTGTAGGTGTATACAAATACACACAAAATTTTGTATATCTGAATCAGAAGATCATCTAATGGCTTATATATTGTGTATTGTCTGGTATACACGTGATTCATAGAGCAAAAGCTCCTTTGGACTCATGTTCTCATCTTCTCCTCTGGAAAAGAAAGGTCCTGTTCATAGATAGGAATCCTTAAAGCAGTCAGGAAAAAAAAGTCAAAGGTATTTCTCTATAATAAAAACCATTTATCTACTAAAAGACTAAAAAGTTGAGAAAAGTTGAGTATGTAAATTCTGTAGGTGTGTCTGAGCAGCTAAAACTGCAGCTATTAACAATGATCAGTGCTGTACTACAACTTGTAAAAAAATCAGTATAGATTTAGCAAATTATATATTTTTTTCTTTATCATAGAGAGTGGTTTGGGGTTTTTTCCATTCAGTTAATTTCTAAAGTATGCAAACATTTTAATCTCAGGACAAGTTCAGCCAGCTAAATAATCAATCCGATGCAGGAAAGTTTCAAACAGTAGTGATCATTGACAACAGGAAACTAGAATGAAAGTTCTCCACCTCCACTTTGGTTCAGACATGGTTCAGGTATGTCTGTGCTTTGTATCCCTACCTCCATTCTGTTTGCACAACAAACTTCTGAAAACCACCATTAACAATTTACTTTCTCTGATTTGTGAGAATTATGATGTGCATTATAGATGAACAGATCAAAGAGCAAAGACATACGAAATTGTGGATCAATTCTAATGGATAAGGAAGACGGAGCAAGTTACCTGCTCCAAGTCTTTAAAAGATGTTTAAGCATTTACCCCACAGTCTGTTACCACAGGTGCTGGGCACCAAAAAATCTTTAGACTGTCACTGTAAGTCCAGGTACACAATCATCTTTTAAGCTCATTTCTTCTGGTTAAATAACAAAGAGTTAAATTGCACCAAAGAGCCCAAAGAGCATTCAAAGAGTATGGCTAATGAAAGCCAGGCCTTTGGTCATTTTCTCTGGACTTAAAATTCCTACTGAAGTTTGTTTTAATTCTCATTACATATTTCATGGTTATAAAGCTAGAAGAGGCCATTAGAATATTAATTTGAGTTTATTCATAGTTTAAGTTCTTAGTGTCACCCTGTTGTTAATGCAATTGGCTTGTGACTTGTATACAAGGAAAGCCCAGATAGAATGTGTAATGCATATAGAGTTTTTTTGTAGAAGTATTTCTACTAAGGATTATTTCTATTCATTTCAAATTTGCAGTGTCACTTTATTTGAAGATCCCAGTGGAAATTTAGGCTTGTATTTTAGCTCTGAAAATAATTTTAAACAATCTTGGCAGTAATAGAAAGGAAAGCTATTGGATCCATTGCTTAGTTGTCTAATTTCTAAATAGTTTAAATGCGAAGGCTGTAAAATAAATTATGTATGGCTTGAATTTAAATGAACAAAGAATGCTGGTCTTCCTTTGGGGAATAGCTTTAATTTAAAAAGAAAATTATGGTTTTTATGTAACTCTCAGTTGGGAATGTATTTGTTAGAAAAATAACTATTCAGTGTTTTGAAAATACAATTCTGTTTGAGCTAGAGGCTCAGTAAGAAATCACCATATAGGCAATTCCCATCTAAGAACTAAGCTACTGATGCACCTAACTCAGCTGGATTAGTAAAGACTGTAAATTGAGTTCCTGTAAAATGTGTCTCAAAAAATGAACATGTGCAAGAAGGAAGTTGTGGGTAATTTGTTCTCCTCTTCACTGCTGTGGGGCATGAAATCCTGTACGAGCACTACTGCAGAAATTGAAACCTGGCTTTTGTGGGCCAGCTATTCAGAGCTTCATTTATCTGTTGGAATTTTTTTGTCTCTTTATTTCTGTATGTCCAGCAAATCAGCTTTGTTCTGATTTCCCATCATCATAGATAGATTTTCTCTTGGCTCTGGGCTTCTCCCACTGTGGAAGAATAGTGGGGTTCTGATTTCCCATCATCATAGATAGATTTTCTCTTGGCTCTGGGCTACACTGTGGAAGAATAGTGGAGCAGCCAGTTTTGATCTGTAGATCTTTGATGTAGAGACATTGGAATTTCCTGCTCCCCTGCTTATAGGCTTGGCAGCCTCAGAGCTGTGCAGTAGCCAGTCTTTCCTGGGATGGCTTTCTCAGGTTGCTTCCTGACATACATCAGGAGCTCCTGCTCTGGAAAGGTCACCCATCTTCCCAGTAGGAACGCAGTCTTATCCTGAAGCTCTCCTACGCCAGATGTGCTGTAGTCACAGTTTTCTCTGTAGAAGGGTGAGTTATTCCTTAGATGTGTTCAGACACTTCTGCCTCTGCACTGTCTGAGGGTGCCATTCCTAAGTACTAAGTTTTATTTGTGTGACAACAGGATCTGTGCTGTTACTGCTACTTCTTTATTTTGAAATAACATTTCTCAGGCTTCAGAATATATTTTTTTTCCGCTTCCATGCCAGCTGGGCACTTCAGACACTCATTAGAGCTTGGGTACTTTGTTGTGTTTTTCTAGGTTGGGGGTGGGAGGGAATTATTCTTCATTGAGGTGAACCTCCTTAACTTCAGGTGTTTGGTTAAGTCTTCTGCTGTCTGTAAAGCTTTCTCTGCCTTCAAAGAGATGCTTGCCAATAAATCTGACATTGTTTTCGATGGGTGAATGTTTTCCTGATGTAATCAGGAGACTGGAAGAGGGGAATATCAGCAGGACACTTGGACATGTGTCACAGAAGAAGCCCTTTAGATGATGATGTTAGAACACTGATCACTTTATGCAAAACCACAACATGAAAAGCTCTGTATCCCATCATAAGGTAAAACAGTTCTGAGACCAACCTCTATCTTTGTGTCTGCTTACAGAGTAGTTTTCATTCTCCCAGATAATGCAGGTGTCTTCCTAAAGGGACAGTGAAGAAAAAAAAGAATGACCATGACTTTTCAATACCTGCCTCCTAAAAAGTGTGTGTGTGTGTGTACACACTATGTTGACCATGACTTTTCAATACCTGCCTCCTAAAAAGTATGTGTGTGTGTACACAATATGTCGTATGCATGGCTCCAGAGTACTCAAAACTGCTCTCTGATTCTTTAGCTGAGTAACTCCAAAGAAATATCCTAGGAACTTTTTGTGCTTCACATGCTGGATATTTTCAGCTTGGGTTAGAATTCTCTGCCTTTGAGGGTTTTATTGGCATTGCTTACAGACCAAGGGCTATTCTGTTTTGGTATTTATCTTAAAGGCTTTGCCATGCATAAAAGGGAAAAACTGTTATTTCTATTGATTCACCTTCAGACCACGTAGCAAATTCAAAGAGAAATAATAACTAAGTGAGGAGAAGCTGCTAAATAGCAGAAAGGAACAAGGAGAAGGTTCCTGGGCCTCCATCTGAAAGGTCATATACCTGGCATCTTTTGAATGTCAAGCGTGAAGATGAGAAAGCAGTGTAAATAAGCCAGTGCCTTTGCATTGCTGGTTGGCAGGTTGGCTCACTCGCTCTTGCTGTCCTTCCTGTCAGGATCTGTCACTGTGAGGGAGATGATGAAAGCCCCCTCATCACGCCGTGTCGCTGCACGGGGACGCTGCGCTTTGTTCACCAGGCCTGCCTGCACCAGTGGATCAAGAGCTCGGACACGCGCTGCTGCGAGCTCTGCAAGTACGACTTCATCATGGAGACCAAGCTCAAGCCCCTCCGGAAGGTAGGCTGCTTTGGAGTATAATTACCCTCAGGTGTCAGAGCTCCAGGATGGCTGTGGAAATTGCAAGCACAGTTACGGAAACATCTGTCCAGAATGGCTTTGTATTTGCTGTTGGTAGTCAGTCACGGTGATTTTATTCTTATGTATAAGCTGGTTAGTTTTCAGCAGCAGAGAACTTGACAAAAAGACTCTTTCTTCACACATACAATATAAATTCACAAATAATAGTCTTTTGGTTTAGACTTTCTATCTTCAGCTTTTTTTTTATGAGTTCATCTGCATATTTTTAAGCCAGAAAGAAATCTTTTCATGTTTTGCTCCTGAGTAACACAGTCCAGTTCACCCAGCAATTTTTACATGAAGCCCATAACTTCTGGTTGAGAGTGATGTTTATACCCATGTGGAAACAGCAGTTACGAAGTAACACAGTCAATTTAGCTGCATCTGTTGTAGCTGTGACACTGATGGGCAAATTAATCACTTCTACTTTAAAATTAGTTAATGGACTTTAAAAGACAGGGTGACTTTGCATTCTGAATGTCAAATGTGCGTTATCTCCACTCATCTGTTTTCTAAGATAAATCAATAAAATACTACACAGATTGTCAGTATAGGGAAGGTGAAGAGTTTATTAAACATATGTGGGTTCTGTTTTCTTTGGAGTGGATAATTTCTCTTCAATTTTTTATTTTAAAATGCTCTCATCCTTCTGGAGTCTTGTTGTATCTTTGAAGTTTGAGTTGATCTGGAGCTGGGCAAGTTTTGATTTAAAATAAATTTCTACATGAAAAACACATAGCGACTGTTGCTTTGGACTAGCATATGCCTATATAGTAAAATTCTAATGGCAAAAGACATTTTGTTTTTGTTTGTCTTATACAGGTAGCAGTAGTTCAGAGAAAGGAGAATCAGCAGAATTCCTTCACACTTCCCATTCAAAGGAATTTGCTATTAAATCCATGGTGATAAACCACTTCTGAGGAAAGAATTTGGGCTAATTTGGAAAGTAAAGCTTGTGATAGGGAAAGACAAAGTTCTCAAATGCCAGGTAGATCTGGCCATGTACACTGGAAATTGAAACAAAAAAAAAAGATGGCTAAACACTTAATTATATTGACTTCAGTTTTAGTAATTGCGGATAAATTTTAAATAATGTTACAGGATGAGATAATTGTATAAAAACCCCCTGCCTGTTGCATATCTTTGGGGGATTTTTTCAGTTTATATGTTTCTACTTTCAAACCGAATTGCTTTAACATCTAACAAGTACTCTCACAGCAGTTACTTTTCTCAAGAGAATATACAGATATTGGTATTTTTAACAAAAGCCTTTTCCTGGTTTTGTTGGATAATATAGCATCTTTTATAAAAGGGAAACAAAATTTATAGCAACCAAGGAGAAAAGGAGTGGAAAGTGTGCATAACTTGAAATCAGAAGTAGGCACTTTTAACTCTGTGTATGGTCAGTGCCACATCTCCTCCCCCTTTTAGAGTGGTAATGTAATTCCTACAAGTCTGCAATTTCTTTATTGAATGATTGCCACCTTATTCAGCTTATCATTGGTTCTCAGGTATGGTTTAGATTTCTGCATAGAAAACATTCACCTCTTCTTTCAGGCAGGATATTTTTGTTTCTGATCAAACCACTACTCAAAAGTAGTTTATCTGCCTGGCAGTCTGTGCTGGTAACATTCCTCCCTTCAAATGCAATGCTAACAAATACTTGTTTGTATGGAACGGACCCAGCACCTAACTATATATCCTTTCTTTTAAGTCACAACCATTTCAGAAACCAAAGCTCCCAAAGATTTCAAAGTTAAAATTGGTTGTCCTTTGGCTTTTATAGCATTCAGCTGTGACACCCTTCATGTTTTAATTTAATTAAACTTGTGATCCTTAATAAGTGTGAACACTGTCATCACCATCATTCACAAATTTGTGAAACACCAAACATTTTATGAGAAGCTGTTTTGCAAACCAAGTATTTTGACATCTGTAGCAAAGCCAAGGTAAGGGAGGAAAAAGTGATCATGAGACCTGCCATATGAGCAGAGCTGACTGGTAAATTTACACCCAAACATCCTTTATAAAAAACACTGAAACTGTTTTGTTTAGGATCGTTTTTTGTCAGACCTTATATATTTTGCAAAAGTGGAAAGTCCCAATGAAACACTGCCAGATTTCTTGGCAGCTTTTATAAAGCCCAGAATCTCAGTTTTGGGGTGTTCCTTGGGAGTCTGTGTTTTCAAAGAACTGGCACAAAGGGTGGTGGGCAAAGTACTGTGGGACAGGCAGCTCCTAACACCAAAACTCTCCACAATCCTGTCTCCTTGATGCAGGATCTGGAAAACACTACTGACTCTGGGATTTCCAGATCTTGAAAGCTTTGGGTTTTGCTAAAGTTTGGTTTTGTACTAGACCTCTAGAGCCTTCAGTCCCTTAAGTCTGACCTGTCAGCAGTGAATCAAAATTTCCAAACTTCTGAAATCCTCTTGGCATGATGGCAGGGATGTTACGTATCTGAAAACAACACAATTCCTGTCAACTTTGTTGGATGCCAACTGGAACAGCAAAATTAACCCCAAAAAAGTTATTAATTTTGCTAATAAGCTTTGAGGAATTCTGAAAACAGATCTTTTTCATGCTTCCTAAACCAAAGACCATATATTTTGTTTCAAGAAAGGAGTGCCTATTTAATTACATAAGAAACTAATTTATTAAAAAAACAAAGGAAATAATTTCCCCTAAAGTGACTTTCTGTCCAGCTCCAGATGATGCAATTTCCATGGCCATTAGACCTGGATTTGAAGTGACATCCTACAAGTGGAAGGGTCACATCTCTTTATCAGTTCTGATTTTTTGTTTTTTAATCTCTCTCATCACTTATTATACAACATTCTAAAATTTGGTTCCTGACTGTGCATTGTTTCATTATGATGAATTTTGTCATAATGTCTTTGTAAAATTCCTACTGCTGATCTCCTGAAGGGAAAAAATTACAGACTACCAAACTTAATTACAGCAATCTATAGTTTTACATTTTGCAGAATCACAAAAGCATGATTTAAATATAAAACAAACTATGTAATTCAATAATTAATTACCATTTTTATTTATGCCTCAGCCCTTCTTGCACCTTCAATGTTTCATAACAGATTTTTTATCAAAGTCTAAGGTTTTATAACACAATCATTTTGGAGTATCGTGCCATATCTGTTAGCACCCATAAAGTGACAATGTAGAACATACAAAGTTAGCATAAATTAAGGTAATCAGTATTAAATCAATAGGTTTGTGCCAATGTGTGACAGTTATTTAATTAGAGAATCCCTGAAAGCATCAGACATCAAATAAAACTCAGTTTAATCATTTTAGTGAGTCTTTGCATTGAGGTAATCCTTTTAAGCATTGATCAACAGACATTGCAAGTGTTTCATATATTTGGACAGGTCTAATTACTCAGCTCAAGATAAATATAGAGATTAAATATTAAGCATTGCTTAGTGTTTCTGGTTTATTTCTCACGGTCTCTGTTACATCTGTCTGTCATTATAAATAATACAGCAACATTTGTACCTTTGCCTCTCAGCATCTGCAATCCATCATGCAGAATTTAAAAGATGACTTTATCACAGAAGGAATTAGAAAGTGGTAAGAAGCTGAAGCTTGTGTGATTTCCTTATTGAGCACTATCAGGTAATAGCTTAAACCTGAGAAAAACACTTCTTTAAAAAAGATGAAATCTTAGATATTAACACCTGCATTTCTTATCTCTTGAATTTGTTGTTTGAAGACTAGTAGAAACAGGAATTGAATGAAAATACCGTGAGAATGAAATGGATTAATGCGTAAAATTAAAAAGAGCTTTAAACACAAAAATGTCTTTAAATGGAGATTCTCAACAGTTCCTTGCTATACTTCAAAATACTTCTTGTATTTAAATTTTGCTATCTATTTAAGACGTCTAGTATCTGATGAGATGTCTTACTGTGATGCATCATCCCAACAGATTATTGTGTGGTGTCAGAGATGTCTATTTTCTCTCCTAATTCTATTTTTGAAATGATTTACAAATAAAGTCTTATTTATGTGAGGCATAAGCAATATTGCTCATTGTTACTATGTGGTTGCTCTTGGTCATTGAGGAAGCACAAGTCAGTTTTTTTGTTTACAGAAGTGTTATGTAGCAGTTGAGGTGGATTTTCTTTCTGATAGAAAGAGTATCTGAATTTTTGCCTTTTCAAAAATAGAGGACTGGGAATGTTCTTTTAGTACAGAGTGATAGGGTTCTATTAAATTAAACAGAAGCAAAGAAAATGCTGATCATGAAATAAACTCGGTCTTGTTTATTTTGAATGTGTACATGTATCTTCTAAGTGTTTATCCTTCTTGTATTCTGTATTTGCTTATATGCTGATATGAAAAAACTCATAGCATGCCTGAAACATTCACTGATGGCAAAATATGTTAAGGTTGTTTTTTACTTTTGATTCAGTGGTAGCTTGGTAATTCATGTTTACATTTCTTTTTTAAGAGTATGGTGATCACTGCCAAAAGTCATACAGTGAAATTTCTGTGATATACTGCTCTGAAATAAAAAGTGCTGACCATTAGAAACTACTTCTCCCAGAGTAAACTCTCAGATCCAGACGTGACCAGAAGAGTCTCACAAGAAAAAAACCCCAAACTTTTAGGCAGTCATTACCATAGTGCTTGCTGTTCAGTTCTTACTGCCCTGTGCTGTGAGGTATGAACCACTGGCTTTGTCGTTGCTTTTCTAATAACGCTCATGATAAGAAGTGGTATCAAATATTGCACAGGACTTGGTCTGGGACTAGTTCCCTTTTGACCCAATTTTGATGAATATTTTGCAGTCCTCAACAAAGAAGGAGCTCCTGCATTTTTCTTTGATTTCTGGTGCAGCTACACAGTGTCGTCAAGGCAACCTGCTCCAGTGTTATCTTTCTTCCAGTAAACTGTCTCAAAACATCAGTAGCCTC